GTGCTGGCCCAGGGAGCACTGGGCCAGGAGATAGCTGCCTCCTGGCCAGGCCTGGGACATTTCTCTGTACCCCTAGGGAGCTTCCTGCTGCCACCGCTGGAGCCTGGGCAGGCATAATGTCCCCCTACCCTGACAGCAGGGAGCACCAAGTCCCTGGCTCTGAGATCATGGTCACAGGGCTCAGGCTAGGAGATAAGGATTTCCCAGTGCCAGCCCCAGTGTCACAAAGTGGGGACTGGGAGATAAAGATCTCCCAGCCCCCACTCCCTGATCACAATCTCAGAGAGGGGCTTGGTGCTCCCTGCTGCTGGGGCAGGGGGACATTGTCCCTGCCTGGGCTCCAGTGGCAGAGCCCACCCCAGCAGCAGACAGCTCCTGGGGGCAGAGAGCAATCTCTCACCCGCTGGTGGTTGGCTGACAGGGAGCAGATTCGCTCCTGGTCAGGCATCTATATGAGGTCTACTGCACAGTAACTAATCACAAGTAAATTTGCTACTTGCATTTGCAGGTAGCAAATTTACTCATGATTAGCGAGGTTTACTGCATAGTAAGCATGCGCATGTGTAGACACACCTGCTTACTGTGCCATAAACAACACTGCTTCCGTCAAGCTTCTTGCGTAGACACACCCTATGACTAGTGATAATCAGGTAGCAGTGGTTTGGCTATGTCAGCAAAAACACATCTAGAGTTGTAAAGGACTGTGTTTTTACAGGAAAACCAAAAGAGAAAAAAGCTGATGAGAAAAGAAAAGTCTCTCTCAAGAAAAAGGCTACAAGAATCAAAAGACCAGAAACCGCCCAAGAGTTGCATCAGGAAGTGGGAGAGCAAACAGATGACAGCAGTGCTGCTACTGCTGGAGACGACAGCAGCCTTTCTCCTTCCAACTCTTCTGTTAAAGACCAGGAACACCCTCCTGATGGCCACCAGCTTGCTACTGAGGATTGCAGCTATCCTCCTGCCTTTGGTTCGGCTCCTGCTGACAAGAGATTTACTCCAACCCCCCCTCTGATCACCAAAGTGTGTGACACTGAATCTATGGAGGGCCAAAGCAGGGAGGTCTCCAAGGTAAGAACTGGAGTCCTCCTTTATGGCCAGAGAGAGGGACAGATACTGAACTGCCTTTTATGTTGTAGGACTAACAGAGACATACCTGGTCTGGCTGTGTGTCCGCCCCTTGCCTCAGCTCTCTCAGGTCCGCTAACTTAGCCCTCCAGCCATGCCACAAGTTGGCTTCTTCTGAGGTGGCAAAGCCCAGAGCGAGGGTTCAGGATGAGTGCTCTTTGGTCAAACAGTCCCAGCCCTTCCTTCCCAAGGACCTCGGCTGTCTGTGCGCCCCCATCACCCAGCTCAGCTTCAGCTCTTTTGGGTCCTAACCACGGGCTCCATGTTTCCCTCCTCAGCTGTGCTCACTGCAGCACCTCACTAGGTGGCAGCATAAGCAGTTTCTCAGCCCTCCCAGGAAGGGCTCGGCTGTCAGTGGAGTCCTGCACATGGGACAACTGGGCTTGCTGCCCCGCTGTAGACTCAGCAACCTTGACTTTCCCTCCCAGGGCCTCTTTCTAAACAGTTCCCCCTCTGACCGAAGTGCCAGCTGCCCTGCTCTGCCTCCACGGGCCTCCTCACAGCCACTGACCCCTCTCACGTGAATTTACTCATTCCCTCCACACCCACAGTTCTCATCCCTGCTCCCCACACTGCTTGGCACCAGTGCAGCTGATCCCAAATTCTCTGACAAGAATGTTTAATTTACTGTGAATTCAGCAGGTCATTTGCCTGGTAGCAATCCCAGTGTAATAGCACAAGCACAGTTATATGGTTGATATAAACAAGTAGAGGAGATTGCAGCAGTATAGTCAGCCTGTGGCCCTTATGGTCACATGGGGCCAGGGTGTTCAATTGTATAAGATGAGATCTTAAAATGTCTGGGTGCTTGCGGCCAGCTGCAACACGCATAGGTCTGTTAGCAAAGCAGTAAATTATCGGTCACACTTTAGCCACAGCAGGGTCTGCTGCTGCAGTTGCTGCTTCAAGGTGACTTTCCAAAAGGCTAGAAAGGTAAATTGGCCCTCAAGCCAAATCCCTTAATCCCCTCCTGCAGGGTCAAGCAGGCTCAGTGGTTCTCCTTTCAAGATTCGGATGGCCTCTCCATCTCCTCTGAAGCACTTGCACATGGCCCCTAGACAAGCCAACTCTGAACCTCAAGCCCACAACAGTACCGCTCCATCCCAGGCTAATAGATACCATGCTTCAGAGTCACATCATCACAGGCTCAGAAAAGCTTTCTTTCTCCCTGAGCATGTACAGAAATGCAAAGGGAAGTGTGTTATGTAAAAAGAGGGAGTCTCTCTGGAGCATTAGATGTTGGCTCCTGCCAGAAATGGGCTAGCAGATTAAGACAATGGTCCCATCTAGTACTGTGACTCCTCGAATTCCATGTTGTTGCTGAGTGCTTAATCCATCTAGATCCTGTAATTTAGAAGCATAAGCAGGAAGAGTTTCTATGCAGAAAAGATTTATGTCCTTCTACTTTTATTACAATGACTGTATTTAGCTGCTACATTTGCTCTCTTTTATTAACCTTTTTTGCCTTGCAAATGAAACACCATTCCTACCAGTTTCTCCACATTGCAAGACAATGTCAGTCTCAGAGTAAACTTGTACTATCTCTTTTGCTCCTTCTCAACATATTAAACAGGTAAAGCATTCAGAAGGTACTAAAGAGGGGGCAGCCATTGTATCTGAACTTGAGAAAAACATCATAGGATTCAGTATACAACAGTGCAGAAATAAAAAATCAGGATAAGTTGCCCTGGGTGGGGCTTCAGCAGCACTGGGCTGGCCCCAGCAGCCTTACCTGGAATCCCGGGGGCCTCCTGGGTCTGCAGTCATGGCGATTCTGCTGCACAGAGCCTGGCTGGCAGCAAAGCGTGGCTCTGGGCAGCCTGGCTCTGCTTTTCAGCAGTGCTTGCTGCCCAAGCATGCACTGCACTGTTTTTCTTTTCCCATGGGTTTTTCTGATCCCTGGATATCCAACACGGAGAACACGGTATGTGGCGCTGCAAACATATTTGCAGTGCCACATACTGCATGACCGTACTTGTCTGAATGTGCCCAGGGAGAGCATTGCAATGCTCCGATGTCCCAAGGGCAAGCATCTGCTCGAAAGAGAATGACAAGTATATTTATGGTAAAAAGAGCATAGGTAAAGTCCATCACTTTTGACAGTGATGCATCCATTTCACACCTCTGTGAGTGCCTCCGTTTCAAGGATTGTGAATCTCATTGACAACAACGGACAAGATCAAGCCATAAATTATTAGAAGACTCCAGACTTCACTAAGTAACCATCTTTTCTTTATATATGGTCAGAATCTGCCTGGAAACCACCATGAGAAATCATCACGGGAAAGAATGCGAGCAGAGAAGGCAGAAAGAAGACGGCTACAGGTAGAGCGGAAAAGAAGGGAACAAGAGGAACAGAAACGGAAACAGCAAGAGCAGCAGGAGCGAATGGAAAAAGTGAAGGAAGAACTGGAACAGGAACAACAGAGAAGAATTGAGGAGATGCGGTAATTGGAAACAAGAGTCCAGCTGGACAGGGGAATGTTTGGCTGAAACGAAAACATAGAATGCCCTGTTTTTTGCTTTGCTTATTTACTGTGTAAGAAACATTACATCCAGCACTTGTATGTTTTCTCATGTTGAAACAGAGGTAGGTTGGGGATAAACCAGTGAGTGTCTTCCTGATGACATCAGGAAAATAATCAGTTAGCCCAGTGCTAGGGAACCAACAAACTGATTTTTACTCCAGATTGCCAAATAATGGGGCAATGAAAATATCACCATATGGGAGCAAGAAAGATCTTTACCCTTGGCTTTGTTCTTATTACTCATTCCCCTCTCCCCACAAATGGTTATTGTTATAATGCGAATTGTTATAATGCAAAAACAAGAGAACACAGGTACCTTAAAAAAAGGGAAAGGGAACATGTTTAAATTCAATATATGATTACCTGTGAAACTCACTGTGGTAGGAAGTTGAGACAAATAGTGTAACATGCTTCAAAAAATGATTAGAAACTTGAATCTGAATATCATCTGCAATTATAAGAACTCAAAATGCAGATTAAGTCTATGAATGTCTAAACATCAGTACATATTACCAACTGTTTCTTCTTTCCTCTTCCCAAGCAACCATCATGATAGCTAGGGGGTTTCATATAGGTTTTATATTTTCTTCAGTTAGGTAGAACTGACCTCTATCAGAAATAAATAGGTACAATATCATAGAATCATAGAAAACTAGGGTTGGAAGAGACCTCAGAAGTTCTTCTAGTCCAACTCCCTGCTCAAAGCAGGACTACCCCTAACTATATTATCTCAGCCAAGGCTTTGTCTACTTGGGTCTTAAACAGATGGAGATTCCACAGCCTCCCTGGGTAACCTGTTCTGGTGCTTTACTACCCTCCTCATGAGAGTTTTTCCTAATATCTAACCTAAACTTCCCTTGATGCAACTTCAAGCCATTGATTCTTATCCCGTCAACTGCCACCACTGAAAACAGTCCAGCTCCACCCTCTTTGGATAGTTGGGGGCCGCTATTAAATCCTCTCTTAATCTTCTCTTCTCCAGACAAAGTAAGCCCAGTTTCCTCTGCCTCTCCTCAGAAGTCATGTGCCCCAGTCCCCTAACCATTTCTGTTGCTGTCCACTGGACTCTTCAATCTGACCAAACCCTTTCTGTAGTGGGGGCCCAAAACTGGACACAGTGCTCTAGATGTGGCCTCATCAATGCCAAACAGAGGAATAATCATTTCCCTCAATCTTCTGGCAAGTCCTGCTGATGAAGCTCAGTATTTGTTAGCCTTCTTCATAACAAGGGCACACTGTTGGTTCATATTCAGCGTATTGTCCACTATAACCCCCAGGTCCTTTTCTGCAGAGCTGTTGCTCAGCTAGTTGGTCCCCAGCCTGTACCAGTGCATGGGATTGTTGTGTCCTAAATGCACGACTTTGCACTTGTCTTGTTGAACTTCATGAGATTTATTTTGGTCTAATCCTCCAATTTGTCTATGCGTCTCTGAATCCTAGCCCTACTTTCCAGCACATCTACTACTCCCCCCAGTTTAGTGTCATCTGCAAGCTTGCTGAGGGCACACTCCATCCCAGCTTCCAGATCACTGATGAAAATATTGAACAAAACCGACCCCACTGGTCTCTTCCCTAACAGTGATTTTTTTTGTTTGCTTTTTTTGTCCATTAGCCATTTCTTCTTCTGTGCAGTCCAAGCCCTTGTCCAAGCTCTACCTCTTACCTTGACTTGTGAAGCTTCCTTCTGGACTTCTATCTAACTCCTCCCACATTCATCCAAATCCTGCTGCAGAAAATGCTTATCTTGTCTGTTGCTTTAACTGGACCCAAATTTTCTTCAGATCCTTTCACTGTCATCCTTTTGCCTTCTGCACCACATTTAAAGCCCTAATTTAGTTGCCTTCAGGCACCTACACAACTCAATCTGTTTGTGTCTCTGTTTGCTCCATCTATTTCCATAATTGTTGCCTCCATTGAGATTTCTGTGATATATACCTAACTGATTCCTAGGGCAGGTCCCCACATGCAAGGGTGTGCAGTTTATGATACTACAAATGACATGCAAATTTGCAGTGTGGTGGCAAAATTTGCTACCAGGAAATCCCAGGAGCAAACAACTCAGGGAAAAAAGTGGCAGAGCACACATCAGTAGCATGCACCGGAACAAATGGAGGGCTGGCTGCAATGCTCTGGCTGCTGGCCAGGCTCCATGCTACCATATCTACATGCCTGCTGTACCAGGACACCAGGTAGTACTGCTGGGACCAGCACAGGTGCTGGCCCCAGCCTGCCCTATTTCTATCTGGGGCAATTTGCTACATTCCAAAGTGCATGTGCAGGGGTGTGGGATAGGACACAAAGTGGCACAAATCTGTGCCCCTACAAGCCCACACCTCTGCACGTGGGGACTTGCCCAAGTGTCTTCCTCACACGTACCTCTGTGCCTTGCATTCCACACTGCCCATGCATCTGCAACTACCTCCTTAGCCCTCTCTGCTTCCTATCCCTCCCTTAAAAACACTTATGTCTAGAAGACTTAAAACCCTTGTCCTGCAACCTCTCAAGGAAGGATAAAATTGCACAATAAAATATATTTTCAAAATAAAATAAAATTTTCAAACCACACTAGATACAAATTAAGCATCACTAAACACCCAATCTGCTATTTCTTAATTCCATCCCATCTTCATTTGTGCAGGCTATTTAGATCTTTGGGCTGGGAACCGACTCTTCATCTGGTCTATAAAGCACTCAGCAGACTTTCAATGCTATTGTGGTTAATTATTTTTTTCTTAGTTTACTGAAACAACAGCTAGAAGAAGAGCACCAGCGCCAGCAGGAGGCAGCAGCAAGGAAGTTACAAGAGGAGAAGGCAGCCCAGGAACGTGTTCGGCAGCAGCAAGAGGAATATCGCAGAAAACTCCTGGAACTACAGAAGAAAAAGCAGCAAGAGGAGAAAGAGCGGGCAGGTGCTTACTGTATCTACAGATAACTTACCCAGAATAAGACACTAAACTCAGACTCCAAAGTTCCTTGTTCTGTCATAGAATTCTTGACACCTCAGACAAAGTTCTTAATATATCTGTGCCTCACATCCCAATCTGTAAAATGGGGATGATGATGATGATAATCCCCTTCTTCACGCAGACATAGTGAGAGTGAATAAATTAATTCCTCTCAGGCCTTTAGATCCTATGGTAATAGGAACCATGGAAGGCAAATACTTAGAAGCTTCTTTAAATATCTTTATAGTTATTGTAATGAATGAACCACAGCAGGGATAGCTTACAGTCTCATTGCAGGGAGCTTTCTTGAGCAGTCCCACTTAGTAAGTATAAAGTAAAGCCTGCTGAGACGTAAAATCCCACATTGGTTCAATACAATTATTTCATCCACCAGTTAGGATCCAACGTTTAACTTCGTAGCAGGCTGTACACTTCAGGGGTTGCAGCCCAACTGCCGACAATAAGGCGCTAACCCTGTCTAGAACTGGGCCAGTTGATGACAATAACTGGCTGGCCCAGAGGAAGCTAAAAGCTCCCAGGGAAGAGAGGGAAGGCAGCATGGCTAGAGGCTGCAGCACTAAGCCAACTACTCAGGGTCTGGGGAAAGACTGCAAAATTTGGTTTAGCCATTTATTGTTTACATAGTTGTTGTTTCATACTTTATGTTGATTCCTGTGGGGCAAGTTTGCCCCAGAAAAATAAAGACTGTGGAGTGTTACCTGACAACATGGTACAAACTCCCTCTAGGAATATTGCATTCCAAGGAAACACTCCATCTCTGTTCTGATGGTGGGAGAAATTGCCAACTGCATAAAGGTGAGGGACAAAAAAAGCCCTGCCTTCTGTTTGTACTTCAGCTTTTCCTACAAAAAGGGAAGTGACGGCTCTTGAGAGGACTTTATGTAGCTAATAGTGACTCCTGGATTGCAAATGGTAAAGAAATAAACTTTGCCACATAGGCCTTCCCTTTTTACAGTGAAGTTTCTTGTAGAAACATACGAAGAACTGGACATATGTTCAGTTCTATTGATTATGCCCTTGAGCCCATTGTTCTGTTCTTATCATTACAATGAGAAGGAATTATTCTAGAGCTTAATCAAAATGTGTGGATTCTATTCCTGGGTTTGCCACTCACTTGCTACAATCTTAGACAAGTCACTTAAACCATGTTTCCTCATCCCTATTAGACAAATAGAAGAAAATTAATATTTTGCTACACAAAATATCATAAAGAGTAATATGTTAATTAAAGTGTGTAAAATATTAAGATGCTTGGAAGAAAGACAATGTAGAAATACAGAGAATTTGGGTTTGATCCCAGATTTTATAAAGCATCAGAAAAACCTAGAACCACCATTACAAGCTAAACAACAAGGAAACAGCCAAAAAGAATAAAGGCTATATCCCAGGGGCGGGCAATTATTTTGGGCAGAGGACCGCTTACTGAGTTTCAGCAAGCCATTGAGGGCCGCATGACAGGCAGCCCAGGGCATGTTAATATTAATTTTCTAAATTTTTTAGGGAACCTATGGGCCAGATAGAAGGCCTGGTGGGCTGCATCTGGCCCCCGGGCCGCATTTTGCCCACCCCTGCTCTATTCTGTTATTTGTCTCCACAGAAGTTGCTGCAGGAGGTATGACTTTCAAAACTGCATAGTGGCAGTCATTTAACATGCCAATGATAATAGCAGTCTTAAGCATTGTGAGTTCACTGCAGTTCACACCACATTTGGTATTTTGTCTTAAACAGTAACATAACTACATAAGAAGGCAGGGTAGAGTGGCACCTTGTAGACTAACTGATTCAGAAAGCATAAACTTTTGTAAGCAACAGCTTACTTCGTCAGAAAGCTGTGATGAAGTAAGCATCTGATGAATCAAGCTGTTGCTTACAAAAGTTTATGAGAAGCAAGCTGTTGCTTATAAAAGCTTATGCTTCCCTGAACTTGTCTATAATTTGTCACCCTGCTCTGACTCTTACCTTACTTCACACTAACATAGCTAACTAGCTCTCTCTACTCCGAGATAACTATACAAGAATCTGTTTTGGGAAAAGGAGAGGGGCCTGCAGCAGGGACTTTCTAGCCCCAATGTTTGCAGAAAAAATTTGTAAAACATAAAACCTAAACGCTGAGGCAGCTAAAGACACCAAAACATTTTTAAAATTGGTATGCATGGTGAGGTTGGTTGTTTTTTTAGAACATTTTAAAACATCTACAGCAACATTACTACGACAGTGATATCTCAAGTTTTAGCACATTAGCAATTCATTTCTCAATTAGGAAATGTTAGTAGATAATAATTGTCTGGTTACTTGTTCCCTAGAGGCAGAAAAACATAGACAGAAAGAAAGAGAAATGTGGCTTGAAGAAGAACGCCAACGACTGGCAGAGATGGCAGAAGAGGAACGCCTAGAGTATGAAAGAAGAAAACGTGAGGAGGAAGAGCAGGCAAGGCGTGCTGCTGAGGAGAAGAGGAGGAAAGCAGAGGAAGAAGCTAAATTAGCTTTGGAGGAGGCCAAGAAGCAAGCACAACTTCTAGCCAGGTACACAGACTTATTCAGAAAAGGAAACTATTCTTGTTGAACACCAACAGGTTAATAGTTAATACTAGTCACATGGTGCCAATGCAAACAAAAAATATTTCTAAGGCTGCAACTCATTTCCTATCCATTTTATTCTGCATGAGTTGCCTTCAGTGAGATTCACGCTACTGATTGGAAGATCCTCCTAACAACTCCAAGTTATAACACAGTTCTTTGTGGTATAAACAAAATTCAACCACCTTTTCTTGCATCTCCAACTTATACTAAAGCTCCACAAGCTTTATATCCAAGACTTTACAATACCTCAAGAACACAACTAACATCCCACCGACTACAAAGTAGAACATCATAACCAGGTCTGCCCGCTCACGTAGGTTCCGAGCCCAAATGCAAGACCTCCATCTAACCCAGGAGGTGCACGGTCCCACCAGGGGAGACGCCTTGTTGGACCTGGTGAGGGGGCTGCGGGTGCTTGACCACCTGGGTGACCGTGATCATCGCCTGCTGGAATTCACCATCCAGCGCAAGGTGGCAAAGGCCTGCAGCAAGGCAGCAGCCCTAGATTTCAGGAGGGCAAACTTCAATGAGCTAAGGAGAATAATCGGGAAAGCACGGAGGTCCCGGAGGGGAGGGGAGCCAGGTGTCCAAGAAGAGTGGTTGCTCCTTAAGGAGATGATCCTCCAAGCCCTAAGGGAGGTAATCCCAACACAGATCAAAGGGTCCAGGAGGGTACAAAAGCCCCCATGGCTCACCAAAAGCATATGGGAATGTCTCCTATCTAAAAGGGAGGCACACACCCAATGGCAGGGAGGGGCCATCCCCAGGGAGGACTATACTGCGGTTGCTCGGGGCTGCAGGGGGCAGTTAGGGAGGCCAAGGCGGAAATGGAACTGGGACTAGCTTCCTGGATGAAGGACAACAAGAAGTCCTTTTTTAAATGCGTAGGGGGCAAAAAGAAGGTTCCGGGTAATGTGGGGCCCCTGCAGGACACGCTAGGAAATTTGGTCGTTACACCAGATGACAAAGCCAACATATTTAA